GGGGTGCAGGGACACAGGCACATGGGGACACACGGTCACGGGGACACAGGGACACACGGATAAGGGGATGTGGTGACACAGGGATATATGGACATCGGGACACAGGGAAGCAGTGACATGGGGACATAGGGACACACAGACATGGGGGTGTGGTGACACGGGGATACATGGACGTGGGGACATGGGGATGCATGGATGTGGGGACGTGGGGACAAGCAGATATGGGAACTCAGTGTTATAGGGACATGGGGACATAAGGACACATGGACATGGGGATGTGGCGATGCAGGGACATGGGGACACGTGAATGTGGGGACATAGGGACACACAGACATGGGGGTGTGGTGACACGGGGATACGTGGACATGGGGACATGGGGACACGGGGGTGCAGTAACACAGGCACATGGGGACACACAGTCACGGGGACACAGGGACACACAGATAAGGTGATGTGGTGACACAGGGATATATGGACATCGGGACACAGGGGAGCAGTGACATGGGGACATAGGGAGACACAGACATGGGGGTGCGGTGACATGGGGATATATGGACATGGGGACATGGGGACACGGGGGTGCAGTAACACAGGCACATGGGGACACACAGTCACGGGGACACAGGGACACACAGATAAGGTGATGTGGTGACACAGGGATATATGGACATCGGGACACAGGGGAGCAGTGACATGGGGACATAGGGAGACACAGACATGGGGGTGCGGTGACATGGGGATATATGGACATGGGGACATGGGGACACAGGGGTGCAGGGACACAGGCACATGGGGACACACGGTCACGGGTCACAGGGACACACGGATAAGGGGATGTGGTGACACAGGGATATATGGACATCGGGACACGGGGAAGCAGTGACGTGGGGACATAGGGACACACAGACATGGGGGTGTGGTGACACGGGGATACATGGACGTGGGGACATGGGGACGCATGGATGTGGGGACGTGGGGAAAAGCAGATATGGGAACTCAGTGTTATAGGGACATGGGGACACAAGGACACATGGACATGGGGATGCAGCGATGCAGGGACATGGGGACACGAGAATGTGGGGACATAGGGACACACAGACATGGGGGTGTGGTGACACGGGGACATGGGGGTGCAGTGACACAGGCACATGGGGACACATGGTCACAGGGACACAGGGACACACAGATAAGGGGATGTGGTGACACAGGGATATATGGACATCGGGACACAGGGAAGCAGTGAAATGGGGACATAAGGACACACAGACATGGGGTTGCGGTGACATGGGGACATGGGGATGTGGATGTGGGGTTGCAGTGACACAGGGACATATGGACACACAGACATGCAGACACTGACTTGGGGACACGGTGACATGGAGACACAGGGACATGGGAACACAAGGATGCAGTGATGTGGGAACATGGGGACATGGGGACACATGGACATGGGGACACAGGGACACACAGTCAGGGGGACGCACAGACATTGAGACAAATGGGTCTGGGTATGCACAGACATGGGGACATGGGGACACAGGGACATAGGTACCCAGTGACATGGGCACGTGGTGACACAGTGACACCCACCAAGCCAAGACAACAGCAGCGTCCCTGCCCCATCCCCCCACACTGTGCCATTCTGGAACATGTCCCAGCGCCACGGTGGCAGCGCCTTGGTGACAGCACCTCGGTGGCACGGTGGCCCAGGGATGTGGCCATGCTGCGGGGCCAGTGCCCCCATCCCCGGGGCCACTGGCTCCGGGCCCGGCCTGCACGTGTCTGCCCGCTTCAGAGGTACCGCTGGGTACAAGGGAGGGGACACCACAGTGGCTGTCCCCATGGGATGGGTGGCATCAGCCATCGCCGGGTGATGAGATGGCATCAGCCATCCTGGTGCAGCAGGGTGGCATCCTCCCATGATGGGATGGTGCCAGACACACTTGGGGGCAGCGTGGGCCGTCCTGGCGTGTGGGGACAGTGCCAGCCTTCCCCTTGCACCCCGATGTCCCCACCCTGATGTGACATTGCCCTCCTGTCCCCCTCCAGGCGTCCCCAGGAGCACCCGGGTGGTGCCAGAGGAGCACAGCCCCACCTGGAACGAGGTGAGGTGACCCCAGGGTGGCCCGCGGTGGCACGGGGGACACTCGGGTCACCCCCTGACCCCTTGTCACCTTCCTCCCCCAGACGCTGGCATGGCCACTGGGCCCGCGTCCCCTGCACCCCACGGCCAGCCTGATCCTGCGCCTCCGGCGCTGGGGCCAGCCGGCACCCCGGGGGTGAGTAGCACCCATGGGTGGGCACCCCAGGGGGGCTACCCCTGGCATGGCCACCCTCACCATGTCCCCCTGTCCCCACAGGGACCTGGGTGCCACCACGGTGTCACTGGACCAGTTGGTGGCCGACCCTGGCCTGCCGCTGGCCCTCAGCCACGTCCCGCTGCTGGACCCCCAGGGACAGCCCACGGGGGTGAGCACCCACCCATGCACCCACCCAGCAGCACCCCTGAGTGCCACCAGGCACAACCTGGGGTGCCACCCATCCCTTTGCAGTGCACCATCACCCTCCGCTGCTCCTACACCCCCCATGGCACAGCCGGGGACACCGCTGTCCCCCTGCAAGGATGGGTGCCACCACCAGCGGTGTCACTGGGGACACCCCACCGCCCCGGCAAGACCCCGGCGGGGAGGAAAGAGGATTTCCAGGTCTGGCACCCATGGGTGTGGTGGCACCTGGGGGGGATGTCCTATCCGTCGGCCACCTCATCACCACTGGTCCCATAGGTACGGGTGAGGGTCATTGAGGGCCACCAGCTCCAGGGCAATGACATCAAGCCGGTGGTGACAGTCCTCATCGGCCAGCACCGCTTCAGGACCAGGATCCGGACGGGAAACAACCCTTACTACAATGAGGTGACCCCAGGGAGGGGACACGGGGACCCGCCGGTGGCCGCTCACCCTGCCCTCACCCCCTTTTGCCCATTTTCTAGGTGTTTTTCCAAAATTTCCACCAGACACCCACCCAGCTGGCAGCAGAGCCCATCCACATCCAGGTCAGGGTGGGGACGAGTGGCACCAGCGGGGATGGGGACAGCGGGGTGGTCACTGACGCCATGTCCCCCACTCTGTCACAGGTGCTGGACTCCCGAGCCACCCGCGCCAAAGCCGTCATCGGCGTCTTCCAGGTGAGGGACGGTGGCTCCGGCATGGGGCGTCACGCCGCGGTTCGGCTGCTCTCACCCCCTTTTGCCATCCCCGCAGCTGGACGTTGGCACCGTCTACCGGGCACCGGGTAGGCGAGAGGGTTGGGGTAACAGCAGGGTGACAGCGGGGTGACACTGGGGTGACACCATGGTCTCCCACCCTGCCAGGACACAGCTTGAGCTGGAAGTGGCTGAGCCTGCAGCACCCCCAGCGCCCCGACGCCGGGTCCCGGGGTTACCTCCGCGTCAGCCTGGCCGTCCTCCGTGCCGGTGAGCCTGTGCTGGTGAGCACCCCCAAATCCTCCCCAGCACCCCAAAAAAATATTCCCGCGGGGAGGGGGTGTCCCCATTTTCCCACACACTCCCCCCAAGAGCAGGAGGAGCCAGCGGGGGACGAGGACGTGGAAGCCAACCTG